CCGATGATCGCAAGTACGATCTGCCCGTCCAAGGTGGGCAGATCGTACGGGCTTTTAATGAGCATACGACCATCGCAAGACAAAAGTCTTGCGATGGTCGTAAGGTGTATGGGCACCTTTACAGTGTGCTAACAGCCTCTTAGCAACCTGCGACGTTGTGGTCAGACTGAATTCTGTGTGGCTCTGCCCGCACAGCCGCATTATTTATTTACAGATCCAGTCACAGAATCTGCCACTGTGGATCTGAATGGGGCACCAGTACAGTGATTACTTCCTCCACCCAAATAACAGAAGGTCCATACCTCGGTACGGACCTGGGGCTGTGGGAATAGGCGGCAGGATCCCGGGCATTGCACCCATGATCCACTGATCGTAGTGGCAATGCTTTGCTGGCTCCAATGCAATGAAATGAATAAATGCACATGTTTTCAATCAATGTTGCAAGGTGGACTATGCCTTTAGGTGTGGATTGAAAGCACCTGCGGGCAGTGTTGCGGTATAGTGCTCCAAGGCACATGAATAATACATCAGACAGTGTTTCCGAGCCATGTGTTAGTGTCGCCATATACGGAGCTCTGAAGAATTGTCTCTAGTGCTTTGTTTTGGGTGGGAGGGAGATGCTGATCTGCCATCCTATACTAAGCACAGCATTGCTTATTTTTGATGATCCTGGTTGGTGCTTCCCTGGGCGGATGACTGTTTGTCTTGTGAGGGAGATAAAAGCAAATCCCGCCCCGTCCATGCACGGTGGAAACTACGCTCATTCAAAACAGATGACTTCAATAGGATCCCCTGGAAGAATAAAAGAACAGGGAACATAAACATGTGTGTCATCACAACAGCCCACAGGGCACATAGTGACTCAGTAGGTCTCCCCCGTTTTAGGTGCTACGAAGGCTGATCACGACATTGTGGGGGTGCAGCTGGCATTTCCTCCCACCTATGAGGGCTGACAGCCTACAGAAAAGGAGGGAGGTGGGGGGTGGGGAACAGTCATTTTGTCCTTAGGTAGCACTTTGTGCTGAAGACAAAGTGGCAGTGGGCTCGATTTGCAGATCAGGCCTGCACACAAAGGGTTAATGTTTGTGTGTTGCCAGCGCTGCAATGTACCGCCGTAGTACTAGCGATCTGCTGGGAGATGCATGACTCATTTTCATCCTGGTAAACAAGAAGGGAGCCTCCCATTTACATTTGTTTACAGACATATTTCCCATGATACTTCCCTGTTATAACACCGTGTACTCCGCTGTACACAAGGGCCATTTCAACGCTAGAGCGCATGGCAGGCAATGAATGCACCCATCCTAGGCGATATTAGTTGGGCAATCGTGTAATCGATCGCAAGGGCAGTAGCACGCCCTCTGAATCAGTTGCATCACGAGCAATTGCGGGAATGATCGCAATGCAGTAGCACGCCCTCCGAATCGGTTGCATCACGAACAATCGCTCGATCGATCGCAGGGCAATAGCATGCCCTCCAAATCGGTTGCATCACGAGCAATCGCGTGGTTGATCGCAGGGCAGTAACACGCCCTGCGAATTGGTTGCATCACGAGCAATCGCCGTGAACTTTCACCTTATCAAATTTATTGGGAGGAAGCGACTAATTGCACATTGTGGTATAATCAAGTGTTTTACTGGCTGTTTTGAGTGCCATTAACATGCGCATGTTTTTGATGCATTGCGTGAACGCCAGCCAATGCGTGCGTATGATGTGCATTCACGCAGCGCCAAAGTGTGAATGGGGACTAAGGGTCACAGCACTTCAGAAAACTGGCTATCTGCTGCAATGTCAGAACTGTGGGCGAATAATGCTGTGTATGTTGCCGCAGCTGCAAGGCAAAAAATATACAGCGGGTCACGTTTGGCAGGCAGTGCCGCTTGTCAAAGGCTGTCATTGCAATGAATGGGACTGCGCTGCAACCGCGTACCCATGGTATTGAAATAGAAAATACCCCTTGGGATTATAAAAGCAAAAACTGCATTCAGGAGACAGCAGCATCCCCTTCTGAACGTCGTCGTTCGTTCTAAAAAGCGATCCACCGCGAAACATATTTCAGAGGGGGGTGGAGGCTGCCGCCTGTGTGAACTCAACCTAATGGTTGCAATAAGGAGGGGTGATTACATGACTGTGCTGACAAGTGAGAATCTCATCTGAGCGTCCCAGAAGAAAAGAGATTCCCCTTGGTCAGCGTGGTCTAGTGGTGCGCTGACCAGTCACCACTCTGATAACATAAAACATACCCACCTGTCACCCAACGAGATCCAGTGGCAGGGGAAAATCTTGTCAAAAGACGCTGTAGCGTGATGCTGGGAGTGACTTGTCAGATAGATCTGGAATGTTCTACATTCCACAGATTGTGGCGGAAGAAGGAGGACATGACCCTCGCCTCAATGCTTTTGTTCCTGTTCACATCTTTGTGTTCTATGAACGTGCATCATGTGCACACTTTGACTCGCGTTCACGGAATGCATCGCGCTTGCAGTGCCATTACTTGTTACTTGCCATTACTTGTTAATGGCACCCCAAACGTGGCCTACTGTGTTTTTCGTGCGTGTGGAAATGCGTTAAAAAATGCGGCATGCCGGTAGCAGAATCTGCTATATGAGCTACTTTCCCACATTTGTTGCACGTACGGCACTCATTTAAATCAATAGGTGACGCATGGAAAATGCTGGAAAACACATGCGAATGCACAGGAACGCGTTCGCACATTCCCAGAACGCTAAGCTACGTTGATCAACTAGAACAATACAGGCTTAATGCAAGGACGCCTAAACAACAATTTCCATGTGCCCTGTTCACACCATACATATGCGTATAAAAACGCAGCATGTCTTCATTGTTATGCAATGCATGGCAGAGCATCACAACGCACTATTGTGCATAGAGTCAAACATTTTTTTTTCTTATCAACAACTAAAGTTGAAGAACTAAACACTGCAATGCGTTGTTTCAACACATGGCAGTGTAGGTGCACAATGCACACCAGTGCATGTTATATGCACCATAAGCCCCCATTCACACTTGAGCATGAGTGCATTTTTCAACTTTTGGTACTTTGCAACATACATGTGCCATAAGACTAGGTTCACACTAGTCTTGCTGCAAAATCATGCATTGTCCCACTTCTTGCACTGCTGCACATGTGACAAATGCAGCAAAAAAGCTCACGCAGCATTTTCAGCTGTAAGCTTCCCGTGTTTTTGACCACGCGTTTGTTCGTGCATCCATGCGCGGCAAAAACAAAATTTTTCTGACTGCGTTTGGGGTGCCAGTAACAAGTAATGGCACCGTAAGTGGGACGCACATGTTTGATGCGTTATGTAAACGCATGCAAATGACATGTTTTTCGTGTGTCCACAGAGTGCCAAAGTGTGAACCAGGCCATAGTGTGCAGTCATCCGGCACACAGGTGGGAAGAGGGGTTCAGTCACATGATGGTGCAAAGATGAGGCCGTACAATCGCCGCTGTGTGTAACGACTGCTCTTTAGCCCAGATTTACATCTGACACCAGAGGGCACGTTCTCAGAAATGTGACATAATGTGCAACGTGCTTGCGTTACCAATGATTTCTAATGGCACCCCAAAAGCACCCAGGAAGACACGTGTTTTTGCTCCCCGTTTGTGCGCATGAAAATGCACACAAGCACAGAAGCCCAAACATGTAACATGGTGTTGCACAATCTGCTACAAAAGCCTTTTTGCTGCGTGCAGGCCTCATGGAACTCAATAGCGATGTGCAGCAAACCCGGCACACAAACGTGCGCAAATGTGACCTGCGTTCCTGGAACGTGCATGTTTGAATGCGGGGTTATAGTTGATGCTTGGATGGAGGATATGTGTGTGTACCTGGGACATCAGTACCATTAGGCTGGGCACTCCATGGGTGGTAGCCACATGATAGTCTGAACAAGCCCTGATTAATGAACAGCTCTGTTGCTAGGGGAGACGAATCGTCATCACCAGCCATGGGTAACCCTTCACACTCAGCAGCAGAGCCATGAATGGGTACAGAGAGTACCTGCATAGTGTCAATGACAGTTCCCCTCACTCCCAGCACACCCCGATCACGGTGACATTCGGGGACAACTGCACACACTGGCCATCGTCAGGATTCTAGCGCGGTCATCCAAAGCACATCGCATCCTCGTGCTGTCCATCTGACACAGGCTGTGCTCCAGCAGGACTGGGCGAACCCCAGTCATTTCTATGGACCTTGACAGCTCTGTCTTTGCTGATGTTGGTGGGGGGAGGGGGAGAAGATCTGAAGGTAGACTGCAGGAGGGCCTCGCTTTAGAAGTCGCCGTCTGCCCCATCAGCCCCGCCTTCTTTTCCCATATATGGCGATCACCGGCGTCCTCTTCCACCGTCCGATCAATGGCAGCACGAGACGCAGCCTGATAGACAGTCCCGCCCCCAGCCATCAGCCCGCCCCCTAGTATGTGTGTGTGTATGTGTTTTTTATTCCTTCCCCCCCCTCTCGATCGGTAACTTGGTACGTCACATGTTGTTTTGCTTCTTTAGTTCAGTCACTCGATGAGATGTGCTATTTACTGTTCAACGCTGTGCGAAGCAGTGAGCGAGCGATCGGCCGGCCAGAGCAGAGCAGCTGATGATCCCCGAGCGGCATGGCTAGACAACACCGGCTAGCTGCACTCACCGGCAATGAGGAATAAACATCTGATGACAGCACCAGGCGCTTGCAGGATGTGTTCCCAGAGCTGATCTCCTGCCTTGGAAGGTGAGTCCGTGTTTTTCTCCTGCGTTTCATACTGCCAGTGCTCCACATCTGATTGCATTCCTCTTTTCATTGAGAGAACTGTTTATGTAGTATGTAGTATGTACGTCACATGAACTGCAGCATCTGGGTGTCTCAGGATTGCTGCATCCCAGCGCTGTGCTAGTAGTAGAGCAATATTTCCATGTAGACTGCTGATCTTTAATCTGAAAACATGTTCCTGGCTGCATCTCACACCTCCTTCTTCTTCTTTTTTTGACTCTTTGAAGGTCAAGGTACTAGAAATTGTCAATCCGTCATCCTTCCAACTCTGGGGATCCAGGCGCTCGAGGTAAGAAGAGGAATGGCCAGCCCTCCCACTCCAGGGCAGCCGGTTCTCCCCGCTGGCTCCAATCTCAACCACAACAACAACAACAACAGCAGCAGCGTCAAAAAATGCGGCTACCTGAGGAAGCAGAAGCATGGTCACAAGCGTTTCTTCGTGCTGAAGGAGCCCGTGGAGGGGTGCCCCACTGCCAGGCTCGAGTACTACGAGAGCGAGAAGAAGTGGAGGAGCAAGTCGGCGGCGGCCAAAAGGGTCATCTCCCTGGACAGCTGCCTGAACATCAACAAACGGGCAGACGCTAAAAACAAGTACCTGATCGCCCTTTACACCCGCGATGAGTACTTTGCGGTGGCAGCAGAGACTGAGCAAGAGCAGGAGAGCTGGTACCGGGCTCTCACCGAGCTGCTGGGCAGCGGTAGAGGCGAAAAAGACAGAAATGGGTGCACAGGTACAGGAGGAACCTGCTGTTCTGGAACGGCCAGCTGTGGTACTAATTGTAGCGGTCACCTGGCATTGGTTGAGGACCCAAATTACGGACTAATAACGCCAGCCAACGCAGCCTACAGGGAGGTGTGGCAAGTCAACTTGAAGCCAAGGGGCCTGGGCCAGATTAAAAGTTTGATCGGCGTGCATCGGCTGTGCTTGTCCGCACGAAGTATCAGCTTTGTGCGCCTGAATAGTGAAACTCCTTCGGTGACCCTTCAATTAATGAACATCCGCCGCTGCGGTCACTCGGACAATTACTTTTTCGTGGAGGTGGGTCGCTCGGCTTCCACTGGACCTGGAGAGATCTGGATGCAGGTTGACGATAATGTGGTAGCCCAGAGCATCCATGAGACAATTTTAGAGGCCATGAAGGCTATGAAGGAGTTAGCTGAATTCCGGCCTCGCAGCAAAAGCCAGTCTTCAAGTTCCAACCCCATTAGCGTACCGGGGAGACGGCATCATTCGCAGCTGCCGCCAAGTCAGACCGGGTTGGCCAGGAGAACCCGCACTGACTTTCCCCCAACTTCGTCAAGTGTTCCTGTAAATCAGTCTTCTCGTCTCCGCACTGCTAGCGAAGGAGATAATTTAAGCAACAAGATGGTCTTAAGTAGTCCTTTGAGTCCAAGTATTCTTCGTACTCCATTAAGTCGTTCCCATACATTGAGTTTAGGTGGTCGAAATGGGAAACTGTTTCCTGCTCCTGGTCCCCTTCAACACAGCAGGTCTATGTCCATGCCAGTTCCACATTCTCCACCATCTGCTGCCAGTCCAGTTAGCATCTCCTCTGGGAGCAGTGGCCATGGCTCTGCTTGTGACCCCCTAGTTCCTCCACGTCCTTCCAGCTGTAATGCATCTGCATCTGGGTCACCTAGTGACCCAGGTTTTATGTCTTTGGATGAATATAGTTCCAGTCCAGGGGACCTAGCCCGAGCATATTTAAGTTGCCGTAGTGGCACTCCAGATTCAGTTTCTGGTACTCCACCACACACGGGAGACATGAATGGGTACATGTCAATGGATAGACCTTTCTCTGGTGATTGCCAATGCCTTGCCCGACGCATGGAATGTTCAGCAATAGAGAAGTGCCCCAGGAAGAGAACCTACTCTTTAACTACTCCTGGAAGACAAAAAGTTGCAACTCCTCAACTTTCCTCTGCTTCCCTTGATGAATCAACCCTTGTGCGTGCCACATATAAGGGTAGCTCTAGTCTTCTCTCATCATCTCCTAAAACATGCCATCCTTATCCAGAGGACTATGCGGATGTAGAAATTGGACGTCAGGAGGATGATGGGTACATGCCCATGAATCATGGAGCTGTTACTGTTTCCTCTTCCACAGATTATGTTCCTATGAGCCCAGCAAGTGTGTCTGCGCCTCAGCAAATTCTACAGCCACGCACTTGCATCAGTGGCAGTACTCAGGAATATTCACCGGATGGTTATATGCCAATGTGCTGTGGGTCTAAAACAAGGCCAGTATCTGTACATCATACGCTATCTCCTGCAGAGCCACTGTCCTTTACACCTCCTGATTATTTCTTCATGCAGCCTAAAAATTGCAGTTGCCGGAGTCATTCAACAGCACCTCAACATAATAGCCCAGCAGTTGTTGAGCCTTATGTCTTAATGAGGTCCCCAGCTTCCTCTTCTCCACATGGTCGAATTGCTCGACCTTCTCGCCTTGCACTTCGCACTCTGCCAAGCATGAGTGAGCATCCACCAGAACCCCCAAGCCCTCCAGGTGGAGAATATATCCACATATATTTTGGAGAGGCAAGATCTCAAGATTCCTTGCCTTTGCCTCCACAAACTGTCCATTCAGACTCTGCACCACTGTCTGCTGCAGGCAGTCCATCTTCCTCATCTTCTGGGTCTGGGCCTCAACCCTCCCCAATTTCGGACTATATGAACTTGGACTTTGGACCTACTTCACCAAAACCGAAAGCCTCAGCTAGCCTATGCCCAAATTCAGACTATACAGAAATGAGCCCAAGGAAGACCTCACCACAGCCATCTTCTTCCATGGCATCTTCACCTACAGCTGCAAAATTACCTATAGAAAGTACAGTTAATGGGGTACAGTGCCTCACGGTACTCATGGACAAGATGAATGGGGCATTTAGCCTGCACAGTCCTCCACCAGATCCAGATAGGGGGGCTAAGGTCATCCGAGCAGATCCACAAGGGGGACGCCGGCGCCACAGTTCAGAGACTTTTTCATCCACCACCCAAGTGACTCCTGTATCACCTTCCTTTGCACATAGTCCCAAGAGGCACAGCTCAGCCTCTGTGGAGAATGTGTCTCTGAGGCCTGGAGAAACATTGGAAGTTGGTGAATGTGGCAGCCCCATGTGCAGGGAAACCTCAGCGGGATTCCAGAATGGACTTAACTACATTGCCATTGACTTGTCACCTGAAGATCGAAACCTGTTGCTGCTATCACAAGCCTCTTCCAGAGGACACTTGCCTGCGCTGGGACTTGCCAGTTTGAACATTGGGTCCTATCCAAGCATTGACTTCCTGGGTCATGGAATCAAGGGTGCCACCACTGTCAGAGGTGAGAATGGTCTACAACATTTGTTACAAACATGTAGTATAAAATAGTTACCCTCCTATAATGTTAGGGTAGGACCCTTTCTGAGGATGCAATTAGTACAGATCAATCCCCTATAACATGTACAGTAAGAAAACAGTTCTGTACCACAGACACATGCAGAAAAGGGGAAGGGAACATTGTTTTGTTTATTCATTCTTAATTAGCTCAAGTAACTTGTACATGTTTTTAAAATACTTCCTACAATGTATCCAAAATCATAAACCTGTTTCCGGCTGTTTTGTAACTAATCCTATGTGTTTTGTGAATTCATAACTTCATGTGAGCCCATTGATTAATATTTATCATTTTACAACTGCATTTTTTCTAGAGTAAATGTAAAAAGTTTCTTCCGGAAATAATCAAAAGTTATTACCTTTTTGTAATACAGAAAAGTAGCATTTGGAGTCCATTTAACTGGACATTTCTAATGAGTAAGTGTAACAGTTAATGAGGAAAGCCCACAACGGCATGGATTCCATTGATTTATATTACCAGTGGTTGCAGTCACGTCACACTAGCTGGTTGTAGTAAAATCGGGTTCACTTACTTTTTATTCAACACAAACAATAGTAAGCCCACATGTCTCTTTTTACAGGGACATCAAAGCCGCACATTCTTTTAACCTTTAACCAGAAGGGGAGCACAAAGCTTCCTCCCCCCAATCCACTTGTCAGTCACTGACATATGGATAAAGGGCTTGGACACTTCTCTTATCATTTGACATGGTCACTTCGCATACAAAGATTGTATCTGTCTACATATTGCAAAATATTTTTGTAATGGTGCAGAGCTCACGTTGTAAAGTGGAAATCTGTTGAAAATGTTGACATTTCCCATGAATGAATGAGAGCCTTGTTGGCCACCAGCTTTGTAGTACAGTCGTTGGGTTTCCTATAGTCTGATGTTTACCTAATCATAATTTTGGGACTCCTATTAGGAGAAACCAGATCATTTTTCCTGTGCACTTTTATGTGCGTGTTTGTATGTATTTATAAATACTGCCACCTTCTTAGGTGTTGGATTATATTTTTAATCCAAATATTTGCACAGCTCAATGGGAAAAGCCTGACTGTTGTAAACTCAGGGGTGTTTGTTACTAATGGCTTCAAATGCAGTTTATTATTTAAGTGACCAGTATGATATTTGCCAATGGCTAATACCTTCCCGTAGAAAAAGATAAAAATGTGTCTGATGGAGCCATGTTGGGTCAGATGAAGTTTAGCATAGAAGTCTATAGCAATAAATCTACTTAACTACAGTACCCTGATAACTGGTTGCTTGGGGTTTCTGCACTTTTTCCATCACCATGACTGTTTTTCAGCTGCGACAAATGAACCTGTATGTGTCTGAAACCAGTTTCATAAGGCATGTCTACAGGCACTGGAAGAGCTATGTAATCCTCTTTTATAAGGGAAAGGTTAAATAAGCAAAATACTTCCACTTGGATTGCGTATACAGATTGAGCCATAGAGGGGAAAGTGTGACTAGCTCTTTAGTCCAGTATTCTGCAGTTGTAATTTAGAACATTGTTTATTGTTACCATGTTTAAAAAGGTTTATGAATGCGTTCTTTCTCCTGCAGGGAAACGGGTGTTTTTCATTTGCTTGTCATAGAATAGCTTCTACTAGTTACGCTTTGCTTGTTCTGCCATTGAAGACCGGCTTGTCAGAGATTAGCATTGAACGGGGAGGGGTTCATCATTGTTTTGCTTTGTAGGAGATGCTTGTGAATTGTGTACTACTCCTTTTCCAAGGGGACCTGCAAGCATAATGCGCTGTATAGTAAATGAAAGAGACATAACATAGTAAACTTCCCTATGAAATTTATACTGGATGAGTGGGAGAAATTCTTCCGAATATGATGACTCTGGAACTGGAAATTAAGGGATTCTTTTAATTTCAACCATTAAGCAATAGAGTTTTTTTTTAATATTCTAATCCCTATTATATCTATAGTAAGCCAAGACTTGGATTTTGTTACTTTTATAACCGAGGAATGGAGGCTGCCCTTGCTGACCTCCTTCTAAAAATGCAGGTTCCAGGGCTGTCATATTAAACCAATGTATTTAATGCTTTCTTAGTTTTTGGCTTGATACTAGTATGCAGATTAGGAGCCCTCTCTGTATGTATACTTGTTTTCAGGTCAGTGTCTTAGGAAATATTGAAGCAAGATAGAGCCAAGCAGCTGGCATTTAGAGAAGGAGTTCCGCAATGGCAGCCTTTTGTATTTCTCACAGTACAGGTTTCCTTTAAAATAAATATATTTAGGACACTGTTGTAAATACATTTATAGTGGCTGATGTGTAAGATAACCAAACACTTTTTTTCTCTTTATGCCTGTGCAGTAATCAGGTAGAGTGTTTGATAACAAATTAATATTTTGAAAGTGCACCAGTCACATTTAAAATGTGCTAATCTGGCAACACATAGAGGTTCCTGCGCATACCCTTAGAAGTCTTCATGAATGCCACCAGAGCTATAGATCCCGGAATGCTTAGTTTAGTTCTGCGCTGGATTACCCCTCCAGTATTAGACCCTTATCTTTCTTGGATGATTTCACTGCCTAACAGGGAGATGCTGGAGGAGGGGGGCAAGCCAGCTTGGGACACAACAATTAAAGTTACACTAAACTCAGGAGTTACATTTTAAAAATGCATTCAAGTACCTTTTAACTATTAACAGAAATGTATCTTAATTGTGTATCACTCATCTGTAGAGCCTCAAATCATCTCTCAATTGGTGCTGACACTGTCCTTCCTTCTGGAGGCTACTTTTGTTCCCCATGGTTCCTGTGTGTGCTGTTAAGTAGCCACAGCTCCCAAAACACTCCCGTGATAGACTACAATCTCAGGCTTAATATACTAATTTGTACTGAGATTGTAGTACAATTGCTCCATCTTGGGAGCAAGGTTAGAGTGGTGGCTACTTTACAACACACACAGGGATCATGGGGGAACAAAAGTAGCCACCCTCCAGAAGGAAGGACCATGTCAGTGCAAATTCAGAGATGATTTGAGGATATAGGTTATAGTTGGGTACATGACTGCATTTTTAAGATTTAACTTCTGAGTTTAGAGTCCCTTTAAGCGCCAAGGAGCACACTTGCCTTTTATGTAGACTTCTAAGGGCTTACATTTTAGTCCTGTGGGCAGCTTGGCATGCTTTAAATATGACACGTGTTCCTTAGCAATTGGTAAGCTGCAATGGCAGTAAATCATGTTTTTCTACGCAATATTCAAACTTGTTCCTTTTACTTTGCATGAGTTACTCTGTGTATACACTTATTAATAAGGAAAACTGCAGCCTATGTGAGACATACTTTTACATTTATAGCCTATTAAGATTCCATTGAGGCCTTTGTAGTATTTTGTTCTGGGCAGTATGATCTGAAATCCCTTGTCACTCTAGGTGCCGTGAGTGAGACTGATGGGATGTTAAACAGGCATGGCCAACAACATGTCCTTATATAGAACCTTTAAATTGGGACCAAATCCAGGCAGTGCATTCTTTAGACATGGCCACGTCATGTTATGGCTCAGTGTTTTGAAAAGAATCTGTAAGCTTATTGCTAGCTCTGTGTGAATCTGCAGTACTTGCTACATAATAATAGATCGAATGTATATTTAAATAACATGTGGAATGAATTTGTCCTGTATTGCAAATTGGATTGGGAACTTGCTATTATTCAGTGGATTTTTGCTGGGGGGAAAAAAGCTTAATCGGAATAAAGGACCATTTAAATCAAAGGTCCAGGCACTATTTTTTATTATTAATAATAATAATAATATTAATATTATACTACAGGATTTATATAGGGCTAACAGTTTGCGCAGCATTTTACAACATAAGGAAGACATTACAATCGCAATACAATTCAAGACAAGATGGTAAGGAGAGCCCTACCCCTAAGGGGTTACTATTATGATTAGCTTCCCCCTCTTAAATGTATGCTATACTCCTATAATAATATATACTACCCCCAGTCTTTTTTTTTATTGCCTTGAGAAATGCTCGGTCAGCCAAGTTCCTTTAACTGCACTTTGTAGTGCAAAATTATGAGCTCAGATATGGACATAGTCCACTCACGGGTACTTGGCTGACGGCCAAAAGGACCTCCAGTGTGCAGACTTTATTTTAGATGTTTACACAGGTCAGCTAAGTTGCTTTTACTGTAATAACGTGACTAAGGGTTGAAAGCAGTTCAGCATTGGGGGGGTACCTAAAGATTTTCTTATGAAATTTCCCTTCGCATTTAGCTTATAGCTTTCATTATACTCGCCAGCACTGTATCAATGAAGGAGATGGCTGTAGTTGCTAATGATATGGATATTGTATCAGAAACATTTTCCAAACTGGGTAAAAAAGCCTCCTTTTTTACTTAAGTCATTCCATTGGAATCTCTGGATCCTTCAGCCATTTTTGCTTTTCACTGCAGTCCTTTTTGAAGGTTTTATGAAACGACTGTTTTTCCATTAGGTTGGACATAAAATTTAGAGCATCATAAACATTTTATTTGGTAAAGTGACACTAGACTCAGAAGTTAAATCTTAAAAATGCATTCAAGTACCTTAACTATCAAGAAAAATGTATCTTATTTGTGTATCACTCGGCTGTAGATCATCAAATCATCTTGGAATTGGTGCTGACACTGTCCTTCCTTCTGGAGGGTGGCTACTTTTTGTTCCCCATGGTCCCTGTGTGTGTTATAAAGTAGTTACCGCTCCAAGCTCACTCCCATGATAGAACTTCAGAACAAATTATATAGATATTACTTCAGAACAAATTCGCTAACTAAAGATGAGATTGTAGTTCATCACGGGAGTGAGTTTGAAGCAGTGGCTACTTCACAACACACACAGGGATCATGGGGAACAAAAGTAGCCACCCTCCAGAAGGAAGGACAATGTTAGCCTGAATTCAAAGATGATTTGAGGATCTACAGCTAATACACAAATAAGATGC